ATATATATATATTATAAACTCAAACCTTTCTAAGAAGACTTTGAGGACATATATAAAATTTTGATTAGGTTTAAGTTTTAGGGTTTCCTATTCAAAGCTTTATTTACCACTTTATTAGGAGTTATTGATGATTGATAATATGATCTTTGAGTATTCTACAGAATCAACAAGTGGTAATTTATGTCTATTTTTATAATATTTGTGAGCGAAAGAGGCTTATAAATGCCCTATCTTTCAGTATTCTTATTAAATCAATAGATTTTAAGAAGATTTATCATTTTTTCTTTTTTGTTACGCTACCACTCCACGGATTATTTAACTTGAGCATCTATGTAATGCTACGTTAGTGTGTTAATGTCAAACTTTAACATTTTAGTAGGAAAAACACAATGTTATTCTTGGTGCTAAATAGCATATGCTATACTTGGTGACAAGAGTCCACCAAATTTTAGCGTTTGATTGTTTTAGTTGATATGTTTATCTTTTTCATTTAGTTATAACAACATTGGCATTTCAAATTAATTTAAAACTAAAAGTTTATTTTTACAACTTTCAAAACTTAATAATTACAGGGTGCGTTTGAAATTGGTTTCAAAATGATTTTTTTTTTCAATATAAGTAAAAAGGAGATTATTTTGAGAATCATTCTAAGACCGATTCTGAAATTGTGTTTGGTTGATTTTTTAAGAGATTGTTTTGAGTATAATAAAAAGGTAAAATCGTGTTTATTAATTAATATATTATAATATTATTAATAAGTACCAAAAAATGAAAACTAAAAAGTGAAAATAACTTTCAACTGTTTTCTAATTCCTTCACAAAAACTATTCTCACTGTTTTTGTTTTCGTTTTTAAAACATTTGCTAAACAAACGTCGTTTCGTTTTCATTTTCATTTTTTACTTCTCGAAATACGTAAAAACTGTTTTCAAAAGTGGTTCTAAACACACACAGTTTCTTTCTTGACACTGTTTGCTAAGTGAAACCTACTTATGCTCCTAGTAGTAATGGGAATTAGTTTTCAACTTGCACCAACCATATTTGGACAAGCAAAGTATTTTTAAAAGAACCCTTCTAACGGTGCTTTTAACCTACAAAAATCTCTGAAGATGCTCCAATGAATACTTCTAGCACTTGAAGAAAAATCATGTTTAAAAGCCTACAAGAGGAATCATGCTGAGAATCAATCACCTTCAAACGTAGCAGTTTTGCAAAAGTTAACTATTGTTACACATTAAGAACCAATCTTTAGTTAAATTTGAGTAGATTTAGTAAAATTAATTAAATACACTGGTTGGTTCCTTCGCATATAATCATTCACAACTTCAAAGTATCATATCTTGCCAGTTTCTGACATGATCCTCTTGATCTCTTCTATAAGGCAATCTTTCTCATCCAATAAATCCTCGTTCTGTTTCTGAAGCTCTTCAATCTGCTTGGTCTGCTCAGAATCCTTCCTAAAACAACATAATTCTCGGTTAAATGAATTTATCTTGAAGAAAACTTGGTATATAAAGAAGGAAATGAATGCGAGTTCTTGGCACAAAAAGTTATTATATGCTAGATATTAGACCAAACTATCCGCATCGGAATATAAATATAGATAGATGGATATGGTGTGGGGCCTATAGCTCCCAATTTACTGATAACAAATCAAACCATCAGGATTCGAATCTTGATGGACACGCGCACACATTCGCGTATTTAGCCAGTTGAGCTAGCCTCAAGTGCAAATAAAATTAAATTTTTGATTGAAAAAAAGCTTAAAAATTCATTAAAAATTTAAAATTTATGAGTTTCTTAAAATCATCAAAACTAGAAACAACAAAGTCATAAAAGATTTAGCATGTGTCAGCTTAATTCTTCTGATAAAACTTCATATAGCAGTCATTGGCTGTAAATAAACAATCATTCAGTGGATGAGGATCACTTTCTACATACAAGGCTTGGACATCATTGTTGCTAAATCATTTGCTCCTCAAGAGCTAAAGCACTGGTCCAGCATTATATCACCTAAATTTCATGCAAGGTCTTAATTTATATATTAATAAGCTTATCCTAAATTTGTATTCTTCACTTCATAGGTCATTTTCGTGGTAAATATAAATGGATGTCAGTCTGTTTTACAAGCCCAAGAGTCTCAAGTAAAAGAAAGTTGATTGTCACCATTACCTATTCATGAAGGACAAGTTAAGTTTGAGCGATCGAACTTCCTTCTCAAGAATTTCACACCGCTTCAAGACAGATTGCATATCGGACGGAATTGCTGGAGTTGAATTTCTTTCCTTTGCTTCTGCCATTCTACACACACACACACACAAAAGAAGAAGAATCCGATATCAATAAGATCTTTCCAGCTTAAAACATCAGAGTACAGCCTTTATATTCTGTCTTTCTTCATTCCACATTGCCTAGAAATGTTGAATTAGTTATTTTTCAAATTTTCTTTTCACTGGAACGAAGTAAATTGTTAAAAATTCTTGAATTTTTCCAGACAGTGGTGTGTACAGTTTTTGCACTTTTAAATGAACTTGTATAAAAATATGCACCATATTACAAGAGAGAGGTATATTTTTTTGGTTCCAATGTAGGAATCTAAATCCAAAAATTACATACTTAATACACATAGTGAACGCTTAAATCAATCAATCTCCATAAATACAGAGAAGAAAAAGGAAAAAGATTCTGAAGTTCTAAAGACTAGCAGTAACATACTTTCGTGATCTCTCCACCCTACGCTTTTTTGTTGCGTCCTCCTTGTCAACTGCAAGATTGTTTTTTTTATAAGAATGAATGTTGTAAATGCAACTATACATTATGTCCTCTTAATGTCAAGACGTGCTTGTCATATGAAAATTTGAGAAGTTTTCACTTGCATGGAATATGAATCATGTATCTTAACTCAATTTGCATACAAACAATGTCGATAATGCCAAAAGTTTTTAGTGTTTTCATTTTTTTTTCTCAGGATATCTGCATGACTGGCCAATATTTTTGGATCTACTTCCTTCAATTTATGTCCGTATTTCAGCAAGGTATTGATTTACTAACGGTACATAGGTTTACGCAATGCAAGTAAATCACCAATTTATTTGTAACAAATCAACTAGATCAGTGATGTATAGGGATAAATCACCCATTTACCCTACAAAAACTGGACATAAACTAAAGAGAAAAATGATATTCTTTCGAAAGGAAGTGTCCAAAACGGACATTTCAGTATCATACTGTGCTTCTTGGACAGAGATTTGAATAAAGTTTTCCATGAACTGAAGTACATTAGACTTTGAAATTTAATCAAGAAAGCACTCAACAGATTTAGAAATTTCAAGCTGAAACTCATAATCATGCTTACTTACCTGAAATAGCCGAAGTCACGGATCCATGTCGGTGTAGATTCCCCCTCTGTGAAAGATATCCGGGTAAAGAATGCAGGAAAGTTGAAACTGAATTAATATATCTTTTTAAAGGTGAGTTTGAAATTCATTTTAAAATAATTTTATTTTTTATATAAAAATAAAATAAAAATATTTTTATTTTTATTTTGGAATTATTTTTAAAAATATGTTTGGTAATTTTATTTAAAGATTAATTTTAATTTTTAAAAAAACTGAAAACATGTTTAATAGTTTAATTTTTGAAAACACGAATATTATTTAAAATAATAATATATTAAATAAATAATAATTAAATTTTAAATAAAAATACTAATAATTAATATAATAATTGAAATTATATTATAAATAAATAGTAAATAATTTAAAATAAGATAATTTAGTGAATAATTAGTAAAAAAAAAAATTTACTTAGTGAATAATCTTAACTTATATTACTGTCATACATACAAATCTCATATTTAATCATATAAACACACGACACATATTTTTAGATATATTCTCAACTAAGTCTCTTGTCTAACTGTTTTCTTTGAAATCATAGGAGGAAAGATATAAAACAAAAATAAATAAAGTCTCTAAAACATTTTTCTAATGAACTAGCACAGAGAAATCATAGTCATATCTTTGGCTTGAAACTACATTTATAAGACATGCAAATGCTTGCATTTTTAAAAACATGTAATAAATATTTTAAATACTATTCAAGGTTTCCTTTCCTTCACTTCAACTGTTCAAGGCTTCAGCCCAAATTGATGAACTTCTCACGAACCCAAAACAACCCGAACGCGAAAAAAAAAAAAAAAAAGAAAAAAATCTACTCTCATTAGACTTCTCAAGTGCAGATTAGCTCAGAAGATAAACAACCCAAAATTGATGAACTTCTCACTAACCCAGCCAAGCATAACCCCAGCATCATCGTCGTCGTCATGAAGCAACCCGTCGAACTCGCGAAGCAACCCGTTGAAACCCATCTCTGCTAAAACGACACAGCTCCACAAAACCAAAGCGCGAAACCCTAGACCAATCCAAACAATCTGCAAAATCATGTCCTCCACCCCAGTCGCCGCCCTTGATGACACCGCCCTCGACCACACCGGCGTCAGGCTTACGCTGAAGATCGTCGAGAACGCCAGCCTGCTCGCCCACTGCTTCTTCCAGTGGGCCGCCAATGTCATGGAGAAGCATGGCGTTTCGCAGAATTTGGCCGCGTTTAACGAAGAAAAGGAAAATGGGAAAATGAAAACGATTTGTAATCGTTTTCAAAATGTCTGAATATTTAGGAGAAAGAAAGAAAACATTTTTATTTTTGTTTTTCGAACAATGCGGTACCAAACGCAATTTTCAGAGCATTTTCATTTTTTAGTCCTTGAAAAATGTGAAAAATGAAACTGAAATGGGTTCCAAACAGGCACCAAGTCTCTTAAAATACTATAGTCATTATCTTTGATCAAAGTGTACCTTTCGATCATCTTTCATATTGCCAATAATCCGTTCTCTGATATCTGCAGTTCAACGAGAAGAAACTTTTAGTCTATAGAAGAAAACTAGTTTTATGCTTTCACAAAATACAAATGAGAAAAGAAAAGTCCGTCTTTTGAGATGTGTGACATTATTTGGGTGCTAAGTTTATGAATGTTTAGAGTCATTCATATGACCAATATTTTTTGGCCTCATATATAGCATGTATAATTCCTGAACGGTGCAACCAATGGAAAGAATCTGAACAGTACAGTACTTTGACGTTTTCGAGAGATCTAATTCTTTATGTCAAATGTAATGTAACAACTATATATTTCTAGGGGACTTAGAATGTTGCCTACATATTTACAATTAAATTAGGATATTAATCTTATAATCTGGACAGAAATGTCTAAGTGAATCCATTTTTAACTTGTTTTGCTCATAATATACTTTTCAAGTGTGAATATGTATCAAGATAAAACTTCAAACAGTGAAATTAACTATCAGAATGTTTCCATATACTCATATTTTCAGACTTATTCCAAATGGACATAGATATGATTGAACTAACACATTCGAGTTTCAGATAGACAAAAACAATGCTCTCTATAAAAGGAACTCATGTACGATGAGCACTTAAGCTTCTAAAAGCGAGTAAATAACAAGTTCAAAGGTAAGGAGTAGCTATTCAAGAAGACTACTTGGGATATCTTTTTATGTCAACTAATACCTTTAGCTCTAGAGCCATTTTCCGAACTCCTATTTCTAGATTGTTTCCTTGAGCTTTCAGAAACACTTATAGCTTGACTGGAGTTGCTGGGACCGTCACATGCGTCAAAGCCGGATGAAAGAACTGGTGCAGCTGCAGAGGATTCACTTTGGGAAGGTTCTTGGGAAACTCTACTTAATTGAATTGGGTTTGTCGAATTCACAAAACCATCCAGTTCAAGCTCCATTGATCCATCAATCATTTGCATAACTCCACCATCCTTAACTTGCATAGGGGATACTTCATGAAAAGTTAAAGGCCTTTCATGAATCTGGTTCCTTTGTCCTTGAATGAAGTTGGCACTAACCATAACTTCTTGAGCGGGAAAAACCCCATTATAGCTGTTATGTTCTAGAACTTCTTTTTCAGTCTGGTTGTTAAGCTTCTTGCGCTCCAATGTTCCTTTTAGCATACTTACAAGAGAGGACACTTTATCCATCTCAGCAATTGGTTTGGTGTTAAAAGTCGAGGAGGAAGAATTCGACGGTGACATGAATGTATCCATTTGTCTGGGCATCTCACTCACGGGACCATTAAATCCATTTGGATATGGATAATCTTGATTCGTTGTACAGATGCCACGCATAGAAGTGTTGTGAATGCCTTCCAAACCTAGTGTTGTTTGAGCTGTTTGCATGGTGGCATACTTCCTCCTGCAACCAATGTGTACTTAAATGAACTCCTCTGTACATGGAGATTTTAATTGAATTGAAAAGAAAATGATGGACAACATCATGTCCATATGATTTCAGGGATAAGTACTAACTAGCAGAAACAATTGAAAAAAAAAAAGTTTACATTGCCAAATAATTTCATTAGATTAGAACACGAAATTGCTCCTTTTGGATTCTATAGCATTCCATGACAAACTATTGTTGATTTCTACAGTTATTTACTAATAAGTGTGCATGAAAAAGTATTGATACCGCAACTCAGAGGATCGGCTTCTTGTCATCGGTTGAGTACTATGAAACCATGCCTACACAAAAGTGAAGTGTGAGAAAAAGAAACAATGATATAGATTTACTAAACTGAGTCATGAAGGTTATCAATCTAGACAAACCTTAGCCAGACATAACTCACTAGCTTGCAATCCCTTTTCAACTGCATTCCTGAAAACATTAAGAACGACCTAGCTCAAAAAACATAATAGTAACAGTAAGAAAGAAGCATCATTGTAACACTGTCACAAAATAAATGTGTAAATGTGTGTTTAAATGCGCATATTACAAGATAGTTTACTAGAAGAAAGCAGTAAACACCTGATTGAGTGATGATTGGCATTGCCTGTGATATCATCAGTCACGGCATTATTTTGTGGGAATAAATTGTCATTGCTTCTTTTCTTCTGAAGTATACCAACATGTTGCTGACCATTCAAATTGGTTATTTCTGTGGATATCCTGCACACGTCATTTGCTTAGAAAATCTAGTTAGCCAAGGAATTTTATGAAAGAATTACTAGTAGCAGAAACGCAGTAGTAGAAGTATCTAAACGACAAGATTTCAGCGGAATTTCCTCTAACAATTACTCAAACAGAAGATGACTAGTTCTTTCCTTAATAAGGACAAAACTTAAGCACATTTGACATGCCCATTATTAATTTCATTTAAAAATTATGAAAATCATTGTTGATATTGCAGCAGCGCTGCTGTTAGTGCCACCGGTTCTTCTAACATACATAGGTAAGATTAGCACCAACTATTAGTGTTTGAAGAATCCATAAGTCTGTAAGAACTTGAATCTACTAACCTCCGTGATCCTTGTCGAGTTCGGTGCACCATACTTGGTGGGTTGAAGCAATTATTCTGGAAGCAGATATACATGAGGTAGAGAAAAAAGTATGATCAAGAAGAAATGAAAGAGCGAGTGATGTCAGACAACTCAAAAAGAACATGAGGTATGCAAGTAAACCAGTTTTCTTAAAGAACCCTATATGTAATAAGTTTTGATAAATATAATCAAAATACCATAATTCTGTGGTTCTCTCCTAATCTACAGAGGAAAGCAGAACACAAAAGGCAGAGAATTGGCTGTAATAAATACTTTTTTTACACTTTATTTTTGGTACCGCAGAAGACTGTTACCCAGAGAGATGAACATCGATCATTTTGATTTTAAAGATAAAAAGTCAATCAACAAGGACGAAATGGACGCTTGCCTCTCCATCTGTTAGCCAGCTTCTGAAAAGCTCCTCGCTGTCCGTACGAAAGTTTTGTGAAAGATTCTTAAATCCCATCATGTCCATAGGTGTTATAGACATTCCCACTGAGCTCTCCATATAAGATCTCAGAAATAATTCCTCACTGGTGTTCCTATACAAGTCCGAAAGCCCTCTTCCTTCCATCTCCAGTGAACTCCTCTCCCCTTCACTGCTTATGATCACCGGAGATCGGAAGGACCTTTAATCCAGCTCACAAGCTCCGAATTTACAAAAGAATCATTAATACCAACAAGAACTAAAACTCCAATTTAGTAAGCGAACTATAAATTAAAATACTTTCTCCAATAACTCTGACCCGAAACAGAAACACAACTTTCCTCCTCCTACCCAGAAAAAGATGGCGGATTTCCGCTCAATCAAGAATCAACTTAAAATACAGACCTTTCGCAATTCACTTGACTTTAAGCCAAACCGTGTCTCAACAGTACAAACACCATGTGACTGTGCCCACAAGCAAACTTCAACCCCAACAATCAACAAAACAACGAAAACCTCCAAAATAAAAAATAAAAATTGAGAAAAAAGCCATATATACTAAGATTATACGTCACCAGTTATGCGTATTTTATATATATTTAAGAAATATTACAAACAGATGATGGGCAGTGGTCAATAGGATTATAATATTAACTTCGTGGGAATCTATGATGTTGGGGTTCTCTTCGAGATTCCATATGCCACAGATTGTCTTTTTCTTTCCCATGAAACGTAATAAATTTGATGGGGCAGTAACTAAAGAATTGACTGAAGAACATATCAATTATTGTTCAAGCTTTTGTTTTCATGTTATGTTAGAAACAAGCCTATGGACAATAAAATATTTGCAAGCGGCGTAGTAGTACCTAAAGCACAGCGAAGAAGTGATGGAAGCCATGAAAGAGACCTCTTCCTTTTTTTTTTTTTTTTTTTTTGGCTGAGGAGAGAAGCCACGAGAGGGACTTTCTGCAACTGTGGATTTAAAAAATGTAGTCGTTGAAATGGCGTTTTCATGGCATGGGCAGGTATTGGGTGTGAACTACGACTAAATCCCGTTCATTTGACCGATTCTTTAATGATTAAAATTAATGATTAAAAGATAATAAAGAAACTCATAATCTGATTACTAAAAGATAAATAAAATAAAAAAATTCTTTCCCTTGGGCCTTGTTTCCCGATTTTCTCACAATTAACAAACCCATAGCAACTCTCTCTGATCTCTCTCTCTAAGATCTTGTTGATCTTGTTCAAGAACCAGAAACTCTATAATGAATTCCATGTTCAGCTAATTTGATTTTGATTCCTTTTGTTTTGTTCTGGAAAATCGGGGGACGAATTCGATAGCCAGAGTTATGGGCTCGATAGGACGGTTGCAACCGACGGCGACGGTGACGGCGGGGATGACGGTCGCGATTTCTGAGCCCAACACGGCGGCTAGCTATGGACTCCGTTGGCTGGGGACGACGGCTCTATTCGTGACGGCATGGGTTCAATATGGGTGGGTTAGGATTATACAGGTCTATTCTAGGTTATAATTTTTAGCTTTATTTATTTTTTTTATTATTTTGTTAAGAAAAATCCTTCTGGTGGTGGTATTTTGATCATCATAGCCTGTAAACCAAATTCATGTTCGTGGTTGATTTTGGGTTTGCGAGTCTTCTTGTCCTGGGTATTGTTCTTGCACTGGGACTTGCTTTGAAGATGAAGATCGTCCTGGAGTTTTTTTCAGTAACTTGAGAGTGACAGAACAAAGTGGGAGTAGAGAGATTAAGGCAACCCAAGAAAGGAGACAAAAAGGAGGTTGCCTAAATAGAGGCATCCAGCCAAACCTGGTTAGTTCAAGATAGAAAGAAAATAAATTGAATGGGAAGTATGGAACACAAACAACATTCCTTGACAAACCAGATTGATTCAACTTTTGAGTGAGGATATTGTTGTTGACCCGACTTATCTAGTTAAAAGAGTAGTACTGAAAATCTCGCACGGCAAGATCCACTCAATCTTTTACGAACTGTACTTCTCAATTAGAACACAACCACTTTCGCTTCTCCTTCAAAATTGTGATCCACTCAATCCTTGACGAAAGAATCAAAATTGTAACTTATAATAAGTTAGAGGGCGAGTTTTGTCCTTTTTGAATAATAGAAGATAAAATGAGATAACCCGTACCATTTATTAGGGGTGTTCATAGATCCGAACTACCCGTAAACCCACCCCGTACCGCCCCAACTCAACCCGAAAAAAATAACCCGCAGTATTATTTTTTAATTTTCGGCCCATTATACTTCCAACCCGAAGTGTTTGGGGCGGATTGTGAGTTGGGCGCATAACAACCCACAACCCCCAACCCAACCCGCACAACACAGCCCCAGGATTAGTTTGGCCCATTAAGTTTACTTCCAGCCCGCGCTTTCTCAGGCCCAGCATTACTCACCCAGCCCAGCAGGCCTTCGGCCCATTCATTACCGCATTAGGGGCTAGGGCAGGCAAGGTAATTAGGCAAACCGCATTACTCTCTCATTCTCGTCTCTTCCCCGTTCCCAGTTCCCTCTCGGCCTCTCTAGTCTCTCGTGTCTCGGCCGGCGCCGCCCCTCTCCCTTCAGGCATTTAGTCTCACAACTCCCCTCAGGCCTTCAGTCTCAGTCACCCCTGAGCCCCTCTCGTGTCTCATCTCGGAGTCGGAGCCGGAGGTAACGAAACCTCTCTCTCTCTCTCACTTCTTTTGCATCTCTATTTTTTTTTTTTAGTGTTTGTTTGGATTGGAAATTTGATTTCTCCTTTGATGTTTCTCGGTTCGTGATCGACTTGAAGAGTGGTTGGTTAGCTGGTTGAAGAGTGGCTGGTTGAGAATACCGGCGGATTGGTAGAAGCTAGTGGTTGATCGGTTCGGGAAGAGTGGCTGGTCGATCCCTATTTCTTCCAGACCTTAGACTTTGAAGGTTAGTTTATTCGAGATTATGTACATTTGATTTGTTTTAATTGTACATTCGAGATTATGTTATTGAAGATCCTACGAGCATAGGTTATGTTATATAGCACCAGATTACCTTCGAGCATAGGTTATGTTTTAAGCATTCGAGCATAGGTTATGTTCCTCAACTAAGAAAAAAAAATGATTTGAATCCAATCATACGCACAAAGTGTATGGTATTTAGCGTATTAATGAATGTTTGATTTAAGCATTGTCTGTTTAGCGTATTAATCAATGTTTTAAGCATTGTCTATTTTTTTGTTTAGGATGGACAACTTCTTGTCATCATCAAGCAACAACACCCAAACTTCTGGATCTAGACTAATTTATGTTTGCTTTGTATTTGATGTTGGATGGACTACTTTGCTTCATGTTTGATGTTAGATGGACTGATAAAGATGGTTGCTATTTCTATTTAATGATGAAGTTTGAATACTATATTGAACTTTAAGTCTTTCATTTTTTGAATGTTGAAACCTACCCCGCACCGCCCCAACCCAACCCGAGCATCGTTGGGTTGTGAAATTTTTTTAACATCGTTGGGGCCAAATATGTGCAACCCGCACCCTTTGGGGCGGGGAAAAAAAATTCTACCCCGCACCAACCCAACCCATGAACTCCCCTACCATTTATGGATCAAATTTAAAATTAATTTTAACATAAATTAACCATGTCGTACAACTACAAGATTAGACCGTCTGACCTACTATTTTAGAGGATGTTTGGTAGAGGGATTCGTTCCCTGATTCGAATCATGATTCGTGGTTCACTACAGTATTTCCTCTCACAAAAAATTCACGTAAATCGAAAATGATTCGAATCACATGATTTGAATCCTCCAACTAAACGTCTTCTTAATTAGGCCAAGTCGGCCTTAAAAGAGAAAATATTGGGTGCGTTTGGAATTGATTCCAAAACGTTTTTGTTTTCTGTACGAAAATGAAAATGAAAACGTTTTTAGTTTCATTTTTGAATTATTTCTAAAAATGCGTTTGGTAGTTTTATTTAGAGATTGATTTCAGTTTTAAAAAAAACTGAAACTGCGTTTGGTGGTTTAATTTTTGAAAACATGTAATAATATATTAAATAAATAACATTATTAAATATATTAAATAAATAATATATTAAATATATTAAATA